AAATGCAGATATTTTTGCTTAGTTATTTAATTACTCGCAAGAAGGTTGTGATTTGATGATCATAGGAGCTTACCACATATGGTTTGTGGACGCTAAGGGTCTCGCCATCTTTGATACGACGCTCGAACTGACCGACTGGAAAGGCAATTACTTAAATAGTATAATGTTTTTTTTTTTAATTTTCTGTTTAAGAAAAAGTAATATGCGTTTTTCAAACGATTAAGAAGGCTTCTATACTCTGAATTACTTGTATTTTTAACCACCTTTAAAACCGAAGGAAAATGTTATGAAATTCGATATGTTTTTTGTGCTTCTATATAACTAGATACCTATAGTTCTTAACTATTTCTTGATAGGTTAAAATTCTATAGGCGATGAAAAGCCCAAAGCTTGAATGCCCCGCCCCGTTTATCCTATAATGTCACTAAAATGCAGAGCTAAGGCGATTCAACCTATGTTAAATGTAACTAACTAAACAATAAACTAAAACCTCGTCCCGTGGAGTTTGACCTTGATATTATAAGCCGAATGTTGAGCCGCTGAAATATTTTTCGATTACCAAAAAAATGTAATGGAAAATTTTATAGTCTTTTTTGTAAAACTTTGGGAAATTACACTTAAAAGGGTAGATGTTTTTGCATCTGGTTCTACGCATTTGCCTTATTAATAAAGTTTTGAAACTTCGAACGTTTCGATCAACGAAAAAGGATCCGTTTAAAAAGTTTTTATTGATATTCATGAGCAATTAAAGAAAACAATATTGGGGATATTAATTTAGTGTTTTCGTTTTAAAAAACTCCGTGCAAACATTTGATTGTAGGTTTTTTCATTCATTTATTGTTTAAAAAAATACATATTACTTCACGGTTTCTCATGAAAGTTATTTATCATCAATTATTTTACTCTGTTAGTCATATTCTTACCCCCAAACAACCATACACTGATCACGTAACTTAGTAATATTTTAGACATTTTGTTTTAGCAATAGCAATATCATGCTTGATTGACATTCCGAATTGACCGTGCGAATAGATTTTATATTGTTTTATACTTACTACAATGATTACGATATCACAACGAAGCCGTGCTAAGCTATATATTTATATCCGAATAAAAAAAATGTTTTTCGTTCACAAAAATAAATTGAAATCTTTGAACACTATTTAAAATTTTGACAATAAATTTTAAAAAGCCTTCTTTAATATTTCATAACTTTATTGTAATTGTAAACTTTTTTTACCTTGTGAATCGAACCCGAGCCACTTGGGTGAGAGGTATATTTATTACTTTCAGTATTCACGATCTTATGAATATTCAATTCTAAACAAATAATAACAATAGTAACATAATTAACATTATATTACTAACACGATTTAATTTATTTTTGAGAAGCCACACATTTCTTTCGGTAAGTAAATCCCTTTTAATATCGTTGCCGGATCGCACAATTTAACAAGCCACTACGGTCTTTGCCAATGGAATTTGAATACACCCCAATTTCATGATGCAAATTGCCTCTTATCCTATTTATTCAATACCCCATTGATTGGATTTCATACGAATAACGAAATGGTCACTTGAGCTTATTACGTGAATGAGATCGACTTTAACGATAGGTACTCGCTTAATTTCTTTGCGTAATAATTCGTATTTCGTAATAATTTGTATCTATTCCATATAATAGTCAATGTTCCATTTTATTGATAGTTCGTCGTCGGGTCAGTTTTGGACAATTTGTGTTTTTTTCCACCTATCCACATTAAGTTGTATAGCTACGCGCTTAAAATTGTCCAACTATTAATCTGATCCTTAGAAACTCTTTTATGATTTTATTTAAAAAACTTGTTGTTTGACTAGATAGACGTATTAGTAGTTTTTTATCTATATTTAAACATGACTTCAAATGCTAAGGACGTGGATTTTTCAAAGTGTATTGTAAGTATAAATACATTGAAATATAATTGCGCATGGAGCAGACTACTTTAATTCAAAAGTATTCTGCGCAATGGCATCCCCAACTACGCCAAAGTCAAACTCAAAGGTTAATTCGCGATTTAGCGCTAGACTCCTATATTATGGCACTATTTCAAAAAGTTTAACGGGTGTTTCAATAAAATCTAACATCGATAAGCTTACAAAAGAAAACGAACCTAATTGCACATATGCGGCATGCATTAGATGTGTTTATGTCTACCTAAAAAAATGAGAAATATTTAAATATAACTGTGAGCATTATATACACACTTACTGCAAAATTTTGCAGACAGCTCCTAACTGTGGTTAAGAATAGAGATGTTATGGATATGATATTTCGGATTCGGTTATGTAATTATTTCGGATTATCCGTTACTTTCGGATAGTTTCGGTTATTAGATTGAAGTAAAATATAAACACAAATAGTATGTAATAATTTGGTTTATATTTAGGTTATCAGTTGGTATTATAATCGGTCATATAGGTAAGTAATTATTGTATATCTCCTCAATTTTAAGTTTTATCTATTAAAATAAAAATGCAATAAATTTAAGAGTTGTAAAAAAAGCTTTATACATTGCACATATTAACTTTATAACCTATGTATAACATATTAAATGTTTTCTTTTTAATTATTTTTGTGCGTAATGAAACCATCAACAAAAACCTGTAGAAACATGCCGTTTTATTTGGATGCCGCCCTTATACGAAACTATCTGAAACTGACTATAGATAGATATATTTTTATTTCGGATATCCGATAGTTTCGGAGCTCCATAACATCCCTGGTTAAGAGTGGTAGAAGGGGCAAGACAAAATCATGGCTGGCTTACACGTCCTAAGCGTTAGGAACCTATGACGGTTCTAGGAAGGAGTATGATAATTTTATAGGTAAAGAAAACTGCAAATAACCTATAAGAGATTTATTTTACATTTTAACAGTATCTTGATATCACGTACCTCTTATTATACAAAAGCGAATGTAGGGGTACATTATCTTACAAAATTTACATTAAATCCTAGACTAACTATACTAATTGGTTATAAAAATGTATGGAATATAATTTTTTTAACGATTATTGCTAAAAATATAAACATTCGTACTTAAAATAGATCTATTCAACGTCATTTTGTATAATATACAAAAACTGAAAATAAAAATTGACCGAACTTGATTTTTCAAATTGAACAGCAGCTTCCAAATTTAAAGGATTTTAGTTCAATTTTTGTACATTATACATTTTTAAAAACCAATTCAGAAACAGTAAATTAAAATGTATAGTGGTCCTGTTCTTATTTTTGGGCTACGAGCGGGACACCAATACGTACTAAGTCATTGTGCCTTTTTGTATCGTCAACTCAAACAATTTTATGGCGAAAAAGCTTACACTCCCGAGTCTATTGACACTTTCAACATTTTATTTCTAAACCAAAATTTAGTTATACACGTCGATAAACCTATGGTTAAATTAAGCATTGAACATTAGAGAGCTAACTTAACTTAAGATACCTAGAATCGTTTATATTCAGTCAAAAAAGGGAAATTAAAACTTAAATCTTCGTCAATGGTAAGAAATTAAGCAAAAATCTCTCCCTCTCTCTTCATCATAAATTAAACACAATTTGACGAAAAGAGACAAATGAGTACTACTATAAAGTGTAAATAGACCGACTACTTTTTTATAACACACAAACTAAAGCTACATTACATATGATCCTCAGAATCAGTCAACTCCCATTTCTATGAGATTTGACATACAGAAGTCGTACTTAGCGCTAAGAAGCGACTCAAAAACCTACCCATAGTACCGTGTTACCAGTGTAACGATCTTTTTCCAAGTAAAATTGGTTACCATGGTAACACGGTGGTTTCGTCCACGTTTTATAAAAAGGTCGAATCAGTCACACTCAAAGGAGCATATGAAATACACTGTCGGCACTACTCAGAATCGATCATTAATTGTTAACAACCATTTATTAATAGGTAATCAAATTGGAAGTTAAAACGTTTTCCTCTGTCCAGCTTCCTTAAATCAGTCTTTAACTAACGTTTAAACTTCGAAACATGTAATATTTAGAATTAGAGATAATTTAATGGAAGACTCTGAGTAGGGCCGGTAATAATAAAATTAAAATTGTTTTAATATGCCTGTACTAAAGCCTCATATTCGAAGTCGTGACTTAGCGAAACCTCTTGACAAACGTAAGCATGCTTAGCGTTAAGTATAGACTAAGAATAGACTATAAGTTAGGCTGAATCTTAGCTAATAATTGACGAAGATTTAAAATCAAAAGGAAGCTACTCTAGAAGGTATGGAATTAAATTATCACCATAAGATTTACACAATATTTGAAATTTACTTGATGAATTTTGTGAATAACTGTTAAGTTAAATAAAATATTTTTTACCTCTCAAATATCTCCGTTATAATAATAACTCAATAAAACGCATTATTTATTTGTTGGTCCTGGAACACATTTGACAGGACCAAAGTTGACCCCATTAAGTGTTACTTGTTTAATGAAACAATTTTTTTTTATTGAGCTAATTTAAAATATATTGCTTGCAACACAAAGACAATACAAACATATCCCGCATAGGCTGTACCAGGTTTGTCTGTGGCGCTATATTTTATACATATCTATGTGAATATAAAATAATATATTATTAGAGGAAGAAACCAATATAAAGAACACGTTCCATAGTTATACAACGTTATCTTAAAATACTATTGTATTTAATCTTTTCCAAAGGATTTTTTTTAAAATATTAAAATATTATCTCTTTTAAATCGATACTAGCAAAACCATCTAATTTATCGAACAAATTACAAATCCAAGATTTCTTTAAAATTTTATTCGCTGCTTTTAATTAGTAATAATCGCTTCAATATTCCGATTATTTGATGGAAAATCACCTAATACAGATATGCATATAAGACACAATTTATTCCTGATATATTCAATTTTACATTGGTGTCGTCCCCTATGTCTTTAAACGTGACCACAGTATAACAAAAACAGTTTCACCGATACGATGTCCGTCTACAATTCCTTGCTATATCCTGGAAACATTCTTCGCAGACACGTACCGGCTTCATTTGCCCATATCGTGGTAGAGGTATTGAGTTTGAACTGCATGAGGCACAGAATACTTTGCCTGAAAAAGGAAAATATTTTTTCTATGAGAATCCTATACAGTATAAATATAACTGCACTCTTTCATGTGTAGATTCCAATAATTACGACGTTATATAAAGACGACAACCAATTATATATCATTTGTGTTTAAGATATTTGTGAATAAGGTTGGTAAGCGATATTTAAAACAGTACTTTAATTATAAAATTGTAAGTGTTATGTAGAAATTATTACGTCAAGTATCGTTAATATGTCAATGGAAGAGATAATAAATAAAATAAAATATGTTTATTATGGAATATAAGGCGTCCACATCTGGCGAATGCACCGCGAATGTGCAGCTCGCGAGCCGTTAGCGAGCTGCGCGCGTGCACTCACGGTAATGGTTATGTGCGCCTCTTTAGCGCAACTCATGCAAGGCTCGTATAAGGCGCGTGCGCGCACTCAATTCTCGCGCTTACAGTTCCGTTTACTGGCGTGGGCGGAAGGAAGACGCGCTGATCGCGTACGGCGCTGAGGTTGCGAGCGAACTGCGCGCGAGCGGCGCACGAACAAATATGCACGCACGCAGCTCGCAAACTGCTCGCAAGCTGCACATTCGCGACATATTCGCCAGATGTGGACGCACCCTTCTATACGTATCAAGATAGGTATCACTTATTTCACGTCATTAAATTTATGATTAGCTACCCTTTTTTAACTAATCGTCCTTTTTTATTAAGTGTAATAAAGTGTTTTTCTTTATTTCTTTACTAAATTCAAATATCGTGTAACCTCTAGATACCCTACGTCATCATCCCGTTTGTCCCTCATTTCAGGAGAACGCATTTGGAAAAACCTCACCGATGTCCAGATTGACCATTCTGATAAACGAGATAGGTCTGGATATCCATAGTTGCCCTCACACACTTTGAATAATTTATGAATGGATGTTTTTTTTCTCTTCGTGATTTCCATGTTTGCCTCTTTTGTGAACCAATGCATCAGTGTGCCGAGGTTTGGCAAGCTTTTGTTAATAATATAAATAAATATTGATAGTATGTTATATGTTCTACGGTCATATACATACCGCAGTTTCGGCAGTGATGTCGTCGTCTAAAGGCGGTGAAATGTGCGGTGCAACGCATACAAGCAGCCGCCGCAATATCTGGAACCCACTCCGGTGCACGCTCTACTAGAACGCTTTCTTCTCTACCGCTGAAATTAGTTTCGTTTTTTTTAAGGAAAGGATTACACATATTGACATATTATATAAAATTAGACAAAGCTGTCAAAGCCGCCCACTCAGTCATGGTCAACCTTATTTAAATCTAATGTTATTTCCTTATGCGAATTTACGGATAAAAACCCGGTTATTAAACTAAAAAGAAAGAAACATTAAAAAAGACATCACCACTTATACCACGATTTTTTAAGTAAATATAAGCTTGTTTGATGTTAACAATCAAAATGATATTACTTTGTACCTTACAAAATATAAATAGAGATAAGATATAGAACTTTGGGCTATGTGGACCTTTAAACTTATGGTCCTTCGATCCGGTAAAATATGTTCGTAATTTACATATGCCATGGAAATAAAATATATAAAAATAAAGAATGTTTTATTATTACCTTAAAGTGAGATCACCGGTAGAGACAGATCCTTGTAAGTTCCCAGCATCAGACTTTCGTCTACTCTCATTAGCTGCCTCATTAATAGTGGAATTCACAGTATTCCTTCTCTCAATATGGCTTTCTGAGGGCGAATCAGAATTGCTATCTGCATATACTTCCTCTGCCGAATATACACTATCAAATGAGCTACCTGAAATTGGAATGAAAATAATTTTATAGTTTGAGTGCGTCAAGTAGGTCGTGTATTTTTTTGTTGTAATATAATGAGATTTAAAAAAAAAATGCAATATGGAAGGGGGGTAGCTTAGTACTAGGGCTTGGGTAAATTGGCCTGAATAAATTCAAATTCAAAAATCATTTAATCATATAGGTAACACATTGTAGACTTATGATCGTTAAAAAAAAAAATTTATATGAAATGCTTCTAACTTTACATTTAGTGCCAGTTCTCAAATCAAGGGCGTAGAACGGAAGAGAAGAACTGGCCATAAACTCTCCACCACTCTTTTAATCGCCTTTTTTTACACAACGTTTGTAAGGAGCTGCAACCATTACACCATGTTTCACATGACATCTTAAGTATTAAATAATAATAACATAAATTAAAAACAAAGACTTGTCCTCTATTAGCAGGAGACATGGTGAAATAGGAGCACACACTTACATTCTCGTGGGAACAACACGCAAACACATAGTCGAAAATACTAAAGTCACCGCATACACGAATTCAAATGCGACCAGTCACCACAAGTAGCACCCGTTCACGAGTATGACGCATGGCCAGTCATCGGCCCACTCGCCATATTTTAGGGATAGTTATACTATATATTTATAAACTCTTGCAAAAAAAGGGGAACCTAAGGAAATATACGTTCTAAGGTCGATTTCAGTTAATTAAATGAAATTTGTCTGACGTAGTCTATATACTTATAATTGTGTAAATTAATACGCGAAAAGTGAATTTTGGTGTAATTTTTTTATTAATTCTTTAAAACTGATATACACGGCCAAACACTAAGAAGTGGTCGAAAAATATCGGTCGGTCGATTCTATCATCTTCGTGAATTGTAACTTTTACATTGCATCAAATAGAGAGGGTTAATCTTACCATTTTGTATAACTTGGTCCTCAGTTGGCTGGTATTCGATTCCGGGTGGTTCCTCCTTTTCTGGCGGTGCATCGTTGGTCTGGTTCATAAGAAACACGGCTTTTAATATGTTCCGTAAGTCTGCCGCAAAGTTTGTCTGCAACTGATCAGCTACGCCAGCGATACAGACGAACAGACGATGGATTAAATCTTCACTAGATCTGAAAATTTAAAGCAAATATATTAAAATATTACGTACTTTTATTTTAAATCCTGAGAACGTGTATACATATAATTTCAAGGCCGTAATCGCGAGCCCTCTCATAGGGCCATGGGCGGGTATCACTTAACGTCAGAGCCTCCTGCCTGTTTACTTTGTTCTAATAAAAATTATCTCTAAAACTACTGAACTCATTTTGATGAAACATTGACTGCACTTTAAGCTCAACGAGGTTTATTACGGACCAATGCGTTTCAAAATTGATAGTAAATTATTTTAAATTTAGGCATAATATTACAAAGCATAGAAAATAAATTATGTGAATCAAAATCGGTTCAGTAGTTTTTGAGTTATGGATATAGCAAGGGAATCATATAGGTAAATATTTAAATTCCCTTAAAAAAACATTATATAATTAAGTATATGCACTAACTTGAACTTAGCTCTAGCTTGATGTCTGGCAGCCAACTCTTGCGCCTGCAACGCTAACGCTATTTGTTCATCGTCTGCGCATTCCGAAGTGCCGCTGAAAATTATAAAAAAAAATATGATTTTATTCGAGTACAGATCCACCAACTTATCTGTGAAATGAAACGAAAATATGGCGGATATGAATTTAATATGGAAACTGCAGTTAGCCGTGCGGCGACCGCTTAGAGCAGTCGGTATCGACTGCAACATGCGGTCCGTCTATGGCCAGCGTAAGTGTTGTCTACTTTGTTTTTGTAAATTAACCGATATTTTTTTCATTGATTACTTTTTAACGTAATTGTAACTTAAAAAATATGAAGCTGAGTGATTCAACTACCTATAGTTCTAGTCACGTAAAAATAACGCTGGAATATGTATGTATGGAAGCTAATGTATCTATCTAGTATCTACCTACATTAATTTTCTTATTTTTGAAGACTATTTAGTACTTATATTACCATTTTATTATTATAAAACAATGTTAGGTATTGTTTAAAATAATAAAATTATGTTTATATGTTTACCTATTTCTTATTGACATAAAAGTAATTTTATTAATTTGCAAACTAAAAGGTGGTACCACTTAGCTCACAGATAAGTTGGTGGGACTATAGATACAATTTTTGTTTTTAAGAATCTATTATCGTCGCCATTCAATCAATAAATGGCTACCGAACCTTGAAAATAATTGAATTGCATCTAGCGATACCAACTAAGCAATAGAAGCGGTATTCGTATTTGCATTATAAAAAAAAAAGGGTGCGTGTACTTATGTACGGCGTAAGAAGTTATACTTCTTTGGCATATTTAAAAATAGTTTGGCTTTGTTCCACCTCCAGTTTTTGATGTTTCAAGGATAAGATGACAACTCTTTTTTGTATTCAATTTAGTGCACTTACACTGATTCATCATGTTTTTGTCTCTTGTCCTTATATTTGCTAGAGAAAAATTACATGTTTTGATTAAACAATGTGGTAATTTTTTTAATCAAAACATTACTCGATAATAATAATACAAACTGATAGTTAACCTCAATTGTAATGAAGCACTTAGGAAGGTTGATGAGCACAGTTTTTTCACAAATATTAATTAGTATTGGTTTAAATATTCAATTTAAATCACTTCTGATTATATATAATTCAAAAAGCATTGCTAAATTTCTTTGAATAAATAATTAAAACTCCTTTATTTGTTTAAAAGGTAAATGACAAATGTCATTATGGTCATCAAAATTCTTGGATACGAACTTCAGCATATCTATTTCTTTTTACTTGTAGATTGTCTATTCCTATTCGCTGGCACGCTATAATCACACTTATTTGTTAGGGGCGCGCGCATCGTAAAATTTCACTCTCATAAATTTTTCATAACCCCAATTTTAAAAATATCACAAGAATAAAATAATAAAATACCTTTCATCAACAAAATGGTCCAAATTCAACTTGAGAGGTGTATTTTGCGCGTGTCTACTGTCCAAAGTGACCATGCCGGGAGACCATTTCTTCTTTTTACTCTTCCCGCCACTCTTTCTCTTTTTCCTACTCGTGTTTTTAGAAGAGTTCGTGGGTTCTGTAATCTCTTCTACCACCGTGTTTAGATTCTTGTCTGATATTCTTTGTCTTCGTAATTCTATAAAAAAATATTATTGCATTTTTAATGACTGGGAAACATTTAACGAGAACTTTACTTTCGCACGTACGTACGTATACGTCTATACCAAAGTTTAACAAAATTCGTTTTAAGCATTAGACATGAAAACGCTACTTACTAATTAGTACTAAGTTAATAATAATATTGCAATTAATGAAATATTTGAATGATAAAGACAAAACTATGGTTTGTTAAAGAATTAAATTTATGAATAACAATAATTAACGCGCATACGAGTTAATTTTAATAGTTATTATTGAAGTTATAAGTATTCAGACTTCAAAAATATTGATAATATTTGATTAATAAATAATGAAACAATAGTTGATACAATTATATAATATATCTATCCGGTGAAAGTTACAACGGCTGCAAACTAACATATATAATAAAGATATACCTGTAATAACTTCTTCTATGGTCCTAAACTCGTCTTCAACATTGCAATTATTTACAACAAGAACTTTCCCCATTCAATCTATCTATCACAATTTCAGACGATCCAGCTTCATTCTTCTGTTCGTCACTTTCCATATAATTAATATTAACATTGAACTCCTCATTCACCCTGTTTTCTATAAAATTATTCTTTTTATTCTGGTCTGCATCTGGCGATCTGTCCAGGCTAGTGTTTTCTGTGCTAACGCCAGAATCGACCGGCGATTCGTGATCACTCTCATATCCTAGTATAAATTTAACCCTATCATCTTCTTTTGCTGAATGAAAACTAGCATTATCTTCGCTTTCATCTTCAATTATGTTCCTAAATTCCTCATTTGTTAGTAACAAAGAGCTCAAATTAACGTTAGCTATGCTTATATTAGTATTTACAATTTCCGCTTCCAAATCCGGAATCATCAGTAAATCGTTTGGCATATTTTCGTCATCCTGGTTAAAAACAGCGGAATTATTATGCGATAACGATGCTAAGACGACAGGCTCTTGGCTTATCGCGTTCGGTATCAAATATCCATGACTAGTGCTGGGCATACAGCTTAATTGTTCATTCCGAGGTCCAGAAAATCCGAAGGCCTCAGAATCGTCTGTCAATGTGACGTCATTCGTTGAGAACGAATGCATCTGATCTAGAATGTCCACATCACTAACGATTGACGATAATCGATCTGCGATTTCGGTGACTTGCTCGTTTAGTGATGTTACTAGTTCTTGGTCCGGTATTTGTCTGTTGTCTGTGGATACTGCGTTTATTAGAAGTGGGTCGAAAGTCATAAGGCCATTGGTGGAAAGGTTTCGTATTGAGGATAGATCGGTGTCTCTGCTAATTTTTCTGGATCTCTCTGTGTCGCTTGTTTGGAAAGTGTCTATGCTCGCTGTGTCTGTCTGTCTGTCTGTGTCTTCCGTTTCGTCTGTGACCTCGTCTAGTCGTCTGAGTCCATCTATGATTGGTGTCATAACCTCAATATTGTCTGGAAGGTAATCCGCGTCGGTTATTGTTGGTTCGCTGGAACTAAGATTAGAAAATGTTAGCATATCTTATACAGACATACACACATAAAAAGTTAAATTAGAAGCCAATGTAAATTGTTTGAGCGTATAAGTATTAAAATAGATCTATTTGCATCTAACCAAGGTGAGTAATTATGTATTAACTAGCAGACTGGCCAAGCGTTGCTGTGGCTAAGGTTTTTGTTATAACACATAGTGGTAAACTATTCAAAGGAAACGGTAGGAGAACACCAGTCATGGAGACAGACCACCATGCTTTTTTGGTGGTTATGCCATTAAATTGTAGCTTATGTGAAACGTTGGTACTTCCAACACAGCGCCACCTGTTAGAATTGTGACTATCAAATAATAAACGAATATTTTGCAATAAAATAATATTGCGGGTATAAATTGAGATGTAAGCTATCCTATCTTTTAAGTTAGATCAAACCGCACACGGTGTTCAAATTTGATTGAAATCGGTTCGGTAGTTTAGGAGTGCATAGCGGACAAACAACGTGACACGTAATTTATTTATATTAAGAGGAAGATATAAGAAATCTTCTTCTTAATACATTTTCAATAATGTTGTTCATATTTCTGCTAGATATTGTATATTACCTTTGTTGTGTATATAAATCTCGGCAATGCGCATGATCCGCATAGAACTTTGAGACGAATTCACCGATGTCAGGATAGCACGAATCACCCGACGAATCTTCCACTATAAAGAGAAATGAGCCCTTCACGTATACGAACTTAGAATTACAAAGAAAACTTGAACGCTTTGACAATTAACTAACATTACCTCAAAAAATAATATTACTATCCCTTTCGAAAAATTAATGTTGAATTCACTGATTAAAGATGCACAATGTGAAGGCAAAGATGGGTTCTCAGCAAATAAATAAATAAACAATTAATCTATATAACATATTAGAACGCTACTTCCATATAAATAAGTGTATATAAATTTTTTATGAAAAACAGAAACCTATTCATCAAGACATCATTCATACAAACATTTTTGCCCTAGGATTATATTCTTTGCATACCTGAAGGCAGTTCCAAGCCTGCTAAACAGGAGACATCTTCGTTAGTGCACAGCAGTCTCTCCAAGACCATCAGCTCGCGACGGTCGAGAGTCCACAGCAATGATCGGATCTTGTGCAGCAGAGTGCGGAATGGACGGAACATGTCTGACATCTCCTCTGGAAGCAGTCAAGTAAAACAAGTATAAGTACAGTCTGAGAGGAAACGGAAGTGTCGTGGGATTTAAGGTTGCTGCAGTGCTGAATTAGCATTTCTGTTTTTTTTATAGACCAGGGGGAAAATAGGCAAGAACCTTACCTCTTGTTAAGTGAGATGTTAAAGACCTTGGCAAATTGAAAAAAAACACTTCTTAAAGACCCTTAAAAGTAATGCAAACAAAATAAATTATACTGTCCCAATTGATATTTGTAAATATGTTTTTACAATATTTATGCATAATATCAATAAGTAAAAATTCTGATAATACCTGGAGACTTGTCAATAGATAGCGGTCCACTAGAGTAGATAAGAAGACCGCTTACAATAGCTAGTCGAGGCACGGCAAACATTAAAGCAGGGTCATATGAATCCACCTGAAAATCACAATAATTTAATTACCTTTTGTCACAATAAAAATATTATATCGGTAACACAAAACTTAAGAACTTAAATAAATGTACTAGCAAAGATCAAGTATTATTTGGCAAAAACATTAAAGGATTATGGCATAATTGTAAAACAACTGTGTATTTCGATAGTATTAGTAATGCGTTAAGTTTGTATTGGAAGAGCTGGACATCCTGACACAAGTATTTTTTACTTAAAAGGTCCCACAAATCTAATAATAGTAACGCATAATTTTACTTATATCAAATAAAAACATTTGATGTAAATAATTGTCTCAAGTCTTCAATTCTTTATTATTTGTCGCTCAAAAAGTGCAAAAGAACGCAAGTTTTATTTAACAAATTATTGACTGTTTGACTAGCATACAATATTGTAATAAATGTATGCATTACCTGTTCCTGAGTGAGAAGATTGTGTTTGAGCGCCCTTCGCAAGCTCTCAGAGAATAGCACACAAATGAGCTGTTGAGCTTCAAACTCGTGAGGAGTCTTTACGGTAACCATTGCACTGACATAGCACAGCTCAAACTCGGCAAACAATCTGTGAAGTAAAGAGATAACAATGGTGTTTTAATTAAAAATCCTAGGCTAATAATATGTGATCTGAGGCTGAAGTGATCAGCTTTCTGCGTATCGTTCTATTGCTTTTAAAATTAACTTTGAGTATATCATTTTGGTAGATGGACAAGTAAAAAAAAGCAAATTATTTAAAAACACGAAAAAACTGGTCTTAATTTACCATCGGAAATGTTAAGTCACAAAAAAAATATTTAAAATTTAAAGGTTAATTTAAATGTACTTTCTAAATTAAAATTTAATACATGTACAAGAAATGCACATATTATAGTTGCTTTGAAATAAATACTAATTCTAAAAAGTTTTTCAAATATTTGGACTATATTTTTATCATCTTCAATATGAACCATTCACTCACATCGGTTAAAATTAACATAATATATTAGTTTGAAAATACACCTTTAATCCCTCCCATGATAAAAAATATAAAATTGGCATTGCTCGCATTGTTATGCCTTTAAACTACTGAACTACGAGCTTAACGCTAAAGTATTTACCTGTCAAAAATGCGTAGACTCTCGTGCAACATATCATCGTGGTCTTGCAAGGCCAAGCCACGTGGTCTTAGACATTGCTCGCGCAGCAGAGACCGGACAGTCTCAAGACTGCGCGTGAGTGCCTTGGCCAAGGGGCGCATAGCCGCCGACTCCTCTTCACGGTTCATTATTGAAGAACCGGCTGCCAGGCACTGAAATTTGTAAAAAAAACACTGTTAGAATTTGTAAAATATTGATTCATTCTAGACAAAATTAGTTGAAAATTCATAGCAATTTGGTTTATAAGAGATCGGATATAAAACGTAAATTAAACTTAGTTCCGTTCTTGATACCATGGTTACGATGTTATTTACATATAAAAATAATGGAACGTATACCATACCATCTTTAGTCTACGTGTTATAATAAGAACAGTAATAGTTCAATATTTGTGATTATTTTGTAACCCCAGTGCTTATTCTTAGAGAAATTTATTTGCGACTAAACACCTGCTGAAGTTATTAAGTATATTATATACCTATACAAAACAGATAATTTCACGAAAACTATGTCGAGTGTACAAACATTACACCTATACCAAATTTCTTAAATTTTTGTCATTTAGAATAGTACGCACGTTTATCGTAATGAATCCTTTAGTCGAGTTGTGTAGGACAGTCAGTAACGCCACACTATCTAGTAGTTTATCTTGTTACTATTCTTATAAAAATATATATATGTGGTATGTGGAACCAGCTGCCCACTGAATTATTTCCGAACCAATTCGACTTAGGGTCCTTCAAGAGCGTACCAATTATTAAAAGGCCGGCAACGCACTCGCGAGCCCTCTGCCTCAGAGTGTCCATGGCCGGCGGTATCACTTAACATCAGATGAGCCTCCTGCCCGTTTGCCCCCTGTTCTATAAAAAAAAATATAAAATAACCCACGGTTTAAATACTACTACATATATTTGTTAAGACAATTTTAAAAACCCACCTCAGCACCGAACCAAAGCTGTCCAGCGAGATTATCCTGCAACACGTCCTCTGGGAACTTGACACGGAAACCCCTTGCGACCCGCTCGTCGCCAAGCACCTGGTCCATTATCTGACTGGTTATGTTTAGTACTCGGTCCTGAAATTAAGATATCAAGGTTTAATATTTCGTGACCATTTAGCGACCAATTTATATTAAATTACATTATTTATAGCAAATGGTCACCTCACCCGGGAAATCACCACCAATAAATCGTATACTATACGGGCCAACAATTTTAATGACCGTAATGAATGTATATGTTTATTGTTCATATGATTTATCAAAGTTGCATACAGTACCTACAGAAATACGGATTTAAAACTGTATATATATATAATATAATGTGTATGATGTATATACATAGTCTGATAGGGCTTGGGAAAGGTTTAAGATGCTCTACTAAAACTGAATTTAGACAAAAAATAAAACACGTATCAATGAAATTTTGGCAATATGTTTAGGTATAGGATATATCTGAACATATAAAGTCTGAACCGTGTATTTGTATTTACTAAAGATCAAGAAACGTGCGAACTTTAGGAAATTAATAAATAAACCAAAAACTCACCTAACATTGGTGGACAAGACCAAACGGAAACGTCGATACAATATGTATTTAGGAATGCGCACATGTACTGATGTCAATCAAAACTAGATATAATTTAATATAGATCGCTGTTGTCAGCGTAGTATTCATGAGTCGCGTGAGCAGAACCAGTTACAATAAACACGTGAGTAACATTCACTGCACATTGTATCAAATATCTACATATGTCGTTGCATTTACTTATTAAATTATGACTTAGCCACGGAATAGACTACAAGAATTAAGGCAAGATTGAGCATACTTCATAGATTTTGAACGAACGTGAAATGAGTTAAAGCGACGAAAATGGTTCTAGTACGAAACTCGACAAAAGGACCTTCAACTGTATCTTTTCCGAGGTTTTACGGTTTCTCTGTGTAAATTTGATATTTATTTTTATGGATTAATTAATATAAAAAGATGTGTACATGAGAAGTACGTGTTTAAAAAACTACATATTATGACATAAAAACTAGATCTAATCGCAAAGGGAATATTAGCCCGGTCAATCTAGACATTTGAAGGTACATAAAGTCCCAACAAACTGAAAATCAGTAAAATTGTTCAAAACATAATTATAAATAATATTTAAAAAGTTCCCCATCATTCCCGTGTATGTATTTTTTTTTAATCAATGTCAAAGGTCAAAAAAATGAGTTTTTCGCGATTTTCAGCAAAACGGTAAGTTTTGTCATAAAGTAGGTACCTTAAATTAAATTATTTTGGTCTAGATTTACCGGACTATATGTTCCGATTCATTATAGTTAGATTTTTCTAACGACATGTCTTCACATGGATAGATTAACATTTGTGCTACTTATTTAATAACTCTATGGTCAAATTTTGTGGTCTAAAATCCTCGTTTTAGAATGATAATATTAGAACAATATATTGCACCTACGTATCTCAAGCCATATAAAATTAGAGTAGAAAGTTCTATGATTTAATTTTTAATGCCTAACTTACTAACGATGACCGATTAACCATCTTATAATATTCACATCTCTCTGAATAACACCAAAATCTATATCAAAGGGTTCAGTAATAAATAATAATGAACACGCTCATACGATACTAAAAATACCGTGCGGAATCCCGTGTGTTTTGGATTCTTAAATCAATTACTTGAGTCAGACACCTCAAATCAATCAGAAATGTGTTGGCAACGTTATAAATGGTAAAATGCTTAAGTTTTATATCAATTCAATGGTCCACAGCTGAGGTTCGAACGGCCGACTTTAATTCAGGCTTTTTCTATAGAAAGGAAATATTTCTTTGTTTATTGAATAGCTCCAAATCTTCTGATCCAATTTGAAAAGTTCACCATTAGAATCTTCGAAACAATAAAAATCGATAATACATATATGTAACTCAATTCCTATACTGCGTCCGCTACGGAAACTATTGACCATAGCTCAAATCTTGACTACAACTGACATCAATGTGTAGAAAACTGAAAAAGTGTGTATAACTATAACATGTCTAACAATATATATAAAATTCTCGTGTCACAATGTTCGTTCCCATACTCCTTCGAAACGGTTCAACCGATTCTTATGAAATTTTTTCATGCATATTCAGTATGTCTGTATAAAAATAGTTTATTTTTCAGACAATTCTTTTTTGTTTTTACAAAAATACATACCCTTAATTTTCACCCTTCTACGATCAACCCCTATTTCTTATTATAGTTCATAGTTATTTTGATTGAACGATACCCCCTTTATTAATATTACGCATTTAGCTCAATTATCGCAGCCGTGTATGACTCAACTGAATCACGTTTGATCAAATGACGTGATCTTGTATTGCGTTCATATTTACGTATTTATACGCGTTTGCTACAACACTGCCTTTCCCTAAGCAGGCCTACCGCGTAATTACGATTTAAATATTAAACTGTCGTACCACATAATTAATCGTTAGAAATCAGAATAATTTCTAGCGATTTATTGAGTCTATTATTGAAAATCAGTGTGGGTGATCTAACAGGTCCATAGGGACAATACTACTTTAATTTTACTGTTAAAGGTAATACCAATGTGTAATAATTTATAAAAACATCCAAGAATGAGTCTGGGAGATCAGAGAAAACCAATAGACCGTGTCTAAGTTTCTCTGTCTGTCTGTACACGCAAGTATCCAAAACTGCTAAACTCTTCCTGGTTTTACTAATTAAATTACCAATCTAATGATAACTTGGAACAAAGTTTGAGCTATACATGTATAACTGTCAGACCAGTTTTCCTTATACGTATTTAGACTTAAAATTATATGATCTCTTAAGTATCTTAAGATTGAAATACAGACCGTTTTCATACAATATACCATATATAATAATACTAAATATGTATATGCAAAATATTATTAAAGCGGGCTTTAGCTAGTAAATTACATTAACAAAGTTTATAAATAGGATGAAAAGTATTATCAAAGATAAACATGTCCTATCAACACGGATGAGTTGAATTGATAACAAATGAACGATTGTTTCATTTATTCAAATTGTGTTGATAAATGGATTGTAAGTAACAACTCCTTTATTACCATAAGCCAAGCATTAACGAATACCTACACAAAATTCTTATTTTCAGGAAGACAAGTAGGATTGTTTCAGGAGTTTCAATTATAAAGACAGTGACAGTTTTATTGCTTTTTAATAAGGCTTTATTTAAAATATATATTATAATACTAGCTGACCCGGCAAACGTTGTTTTGCCATGTATATTATTTCTAGGAAACATTTTTTTAGTTCAATAAAAAAGACTATCTACTATGAAAATTAGGGGTTGTATGTATTTTTGTATTGTGTATAATAAAAACATAAAAAAATTGTCCAAAATATCAAAAAATGTTTTTTGGGGTGGACACCCCTTATCACTTAAGGGTTTGACAGATCTTAGTAGCCGATTCTCAAACTTACTGAATATGCATAAAAAATTTCATAAGAATCGATTGTAACACGAGAATTTAATATATTAGAGATATATATTTGATGTTCAAATAGATAGAATTTATGTAGAAGGTAATAAGTAAGATACATAAAAAACAATGTCGCTACACCCATTTAGTTCTGGCCTCAGATTTATGTCTCTGTTTCGTGATATTATAATAGGCAAATAGTGATCAGCCTTCTGTGGCTGAATCGCCGACGACTTTTTGGGTCTTAGATATGCCAGTTTCCTCACGATGTTTTCCATCACCGTACGAGCGAGAGTTTAATCCCCACAGAAACCATTGATGCACAGCCGGGGTACCTCAGGGATGAGAGTCGCACGCTGAAGCCATTAAGCCAAACAACTCCAGTCAAATAATATAAATATATACAAACGAAATCACTAGACTACCACTTCAAATAAGGAAGCCCTAATATGTAAACTTTATGGACAAATGCACTTAATGAGAACAAATTGTTTATGGCATTAAACTAGTACTGTTAAACCTGTTTTCTATCTTGTCTATGCCGTATTAAAAATCTAGAACGTTCATATTGTAAGTACTGTATCCAAATATTCATGGATCGCAAACCCCTTTATAGGCCTTAGTCACAGATTTCTACATAGGCATATAGATCAGTCTTATGTGCCTAACACACGTCCATCGATGCCTTCCTTCACCGTAGAGCATGTGTTAAAATTTCGGTACAATCAATTAAAAAAAAATATTAAAAATAAATCAGTGGCGCTACAACTTTTTTAGGTCTGGGCCTCAGATTTCTGTATGTTTCATGATCATTTGTTAATCTAATAAGCATGCAGGTGATCAGCTTCCTGTGCCTGATACACGCCAACGACTTTTTGGGTCTAAGGTAAGCCGGTTTCCTCGCACATAACAAGAAATTATATTGTGTACCAATGGAATTTCTTTCCGGATTGAACCTACAGGTATGATAGTGGCACGCTGAAGCCACTAGACTAACACTGCTGCACAACCCACATTATTACTGTTTAAATTAAGTCATAATCACTTCTTCGTATCCTTAGTTCAATTAGTCAAACGCTTCTGATTTGGTGCTTCTAGATCGTTCATTTGATTCAATGAACTGTGAAACGTGAATCATTCTTTTTGCTAGGTCAACAGATTCAAATTGTAAATTGGAACTGGGTATTGGTACTACTGCAATTCAATATTGCCATTAAAATATTTTCAAGTCAACATAGAGAAACCATTAAAAAGATAAATATACTTTGTCGAAAACAGAAATTAAATAGTTGCGATATGTTTCATTTGGAATAATGGACCTAAGCTAGATTAGACCTTACCTACAAGTAGCCGCTGACAGTAAGATGTTATAAAAATAACTAATATCGACATTTCAATGTTTGTTATACCTACCGAATAAAATCATTAAAAAAACATCCAATAATGATTTTGAGAAATCAGAAAAAAAACCAATACACCAACGTTTCTTTTAAGTCTGTCTGTAGGTACACGCAAACCTTCAAAACTGCTAAACATTACCCGATTTTACTAATTGACTCAAAGTAACTTTGGGCTGTCAGGCCACTTTCCATTCTCATTCTTAACTCTAGTATATATACGTATTGCAATACGGACCGTTTTCTTACTGTTTTGATAAAGCATAAAAAATTCACAAAACAATTGTCACGGTGTATTATCTCGACCTCCAATGGGTGATTCATACCAACCAAATAAGCATTCAAGGTACTTTTGGATAAACGCAATATGGGCCGATTGTCTACCCACTTTACATACAAGATAATAATACAATTAACTAAATATATTTAAGTAAACGACTGATACTACTTTAAAAGCTAACGTTATTATGATTTACTGTGATTTCCATAGCATTAACACAAAAACAAATGATAAACTATACGCATGTTTGTTTTCTTACACTAGTAAGCATTTTCATCAGTCCCTAGTTATACTTAACAGTCCCTAGATCCCTAAATGGTAGTTAGGTGTCTTGTCAGTATCTAGTAGATACTGACAAGGTCTAGGGACTGACGAGTCCCTAGACGCCCAAATTTGTAAAATTATACTATATTTCTCGTAAAATACTATATAAAGTGACTGGCCCTTTTAATTATTATAATATCTATCATAAATAGCAATTAGTGATCACAAGTTATTATACATGACAAGTTCTTACATTACCCTACTTTTATGACCCATACCACTAAATGTCAGGAGCAAAACATTTGTGTACTAATTTATATGGACTTGTTTGTCGAGTAATATTGAAAATACATGTCTTTGTTCGTCAAGCCAGTTCAATTTATCACACGTGGGTGAGGTGAATTCTGCGAAAATTATGTCAAGTAATACGAATTTCAGTTTTGGGACAGCTCGAAGAATCGATTTTACATATAACTTTGTTAGATTACTACACGTTCTATTTCGATGTGTGCTTTCGTGTAATTCCACATACTATATACGCCTCAAGTTTAACAGACGAAATACTTTTGTTTCGATTGCTATTCGAGTGAAAATAAAAACCCCAATAGTCTATTGTAATGAATTTGTGATTACTTATTATTATTAAACGTTATTTATCATAATTTTAAATATTAAATAATCTTTAATATATAAGATAAAAAAAAATTAAAAAAAAAAGTACTAAAATTAAAAAGCTCAAAACCAACAAAAAAAAAAAAAAAAAAAAAATAAAAAAACCTAAAGGTTTTATACGATATAAAAAAAAAATAAAAAAAAAAAAAACCAAAAAAACTTAATAAACGTAAAAATAGTAAATATAACTATATAGACTTTTATACAATTTGAAAAGAAATAATATTCTTTTATTGTTTGAAATATTATATAATCATTTATTATAAAAAAATAACGATATATGGCAACATATTTACAAATACATTAGTATTAGTTGGTTCGTTTAGTGAAAATACGATAAGTAGGTATTAGCTAAGGAAGCAGGGAGTAGGTATGTGTGCTAAAGGAAGAAGTGTATTAGAGGATGAGCAGAAAAGGGAGGGAGGAGAGAGTAGGAGAAGTAGAAAGAGTGAGCAGGAGGGAGGAATAGGAAGAGGGAGATAGAGGTATGTATGAGAGCAGTTGAGGGATGTGACCAAAAGAAGAAGTGTGTTAGTAAGAGGCTATGTATGCTATTGTATGGAGACAAAGTAGAAAAAAAAAAAAAAAAAGAAGAGTTACTCATTTTTTGTATTAAAGTGAACCATTGTAATATTCATATAATATAAATAAATATTATGATTTATTTAAAATAAAAATAAGAAAATTTAGTAAATTATAATATTTTAGATTTTGTTATTTAATGTACTATATGGGCATATGAACAATATTGAAATGAAAATTAAAAAGGAAAGGAAAATGTATAATACAAATTAAGAAAAGAAAAAGAGTAGTTAAAACTTTAAAATATATATTAGAAAAGAGTAATAAACAGGATGCATAGTTACAAACTAAATTTAAACTTATTACATAAAAAAAGAGGAGGAAATAAAAAGAATTAATAAGAAGAAAATAAAGCTTGTATTGTAGATTCTAAATGTAGATATCAGAATGTTTTTGGTGTCCATGTTTTCTAGATTGGGTGAACTTTAAAGAATTCACTCATTTAATAGGAATGTGCTTATTAAGATAGATTTTATTCTGTTAGTTATTTTTGACATCATGAACTGAAATAAAAGCTTATAAAAATACAAAGCTTTATTTTTAAAGTAATTATAATACATATAACATAATTTTATGAATTAACTTTGTTTCTTGTTGAAGTATTGTGGTCAAAAATAATAATAAAATCAAATGCAGATATGTAAGATGATATAAAAATATCTTTGAGTGTGTTATTAAGATGTTTGAGTTGGTAGGCAGAGTCATCTTTAACAATTTAATTTGAAAGAATAAAGGAACCTAGAAAGAAGCAGGACTAGGTAGACTAGACATTGACATTTATCAAGTTATTAGGTATGATGCAACTTAAAGTAGAAATAACATGGTTAAGTCTACGGGGATATTAAATTATTGAACACAGTTTATACTGTCAAATATTATATTTTCCTTATGTACTTGAACAATATTTTGAGATTTGATTAGGACTTTTCTTTATGTTATTGTCCCTTTCATTGTCTACAAAATGTTTTGATTGTTAGTTTTGTTCCATTCTTTGCCTAAGTAATTGTATATTTTATGTAGTTTTGACTTTTGACTTACCTTATTTAATGTAATTTTTATTATGGTAGGAAAGTGATTATTTGAAGGGAGTTTATAGTGTGGTTGAGTAGAAGGATTGGTGGATCAATATAAATGTGTCCGAAATAATGATAATTTAGAAGAGTAGTAGTTGATAGCGAAAGTAACAAAATCAATTGAATCCAAATAATAGCCGAATGTAATGAATAATTGATTAAAACCAAATGTATAGATAGGTTAAATTAGTTACATGAAACTAAAATATCTTGTTAGTGTACTTATTTGAATTTATAAAACCTTTCATGATTATATATGTGGGAGATGAGTAGTGAGGGAATGTAATGAATTTGTGATTACTTATTATTATTAAAGTTATTTATATAATTTTAAATATTAAAGTAATCTTTGACACTGTTTATGATGGTTGATTGTGGTGATTGGTGGTGTGGAAGAGTACAGAAATGTAGAAATGGTTAATGAAAATGTGGTGTAAATACAGGAATGGTTGGTGTGGTAGTTGATTGAGGGTTAATAGAGAGTTTAAAAGTAGATTAATGTGATATAATGGTGATGAAAAAATATGAAATAAGGAGAAGTATTTGAAATATAAATAGTGAATGGGTTGAAGGGTGGAACACAGAGTTTTTCTTATAAACACAAGTCAAATATCGACAATACAGTTCACTAATAACAATAGCGATTCGTTCTATAAAGAACAAAGGAAAGTATGGTGTTCCTATTAAACGATTATCAGTAATTAATCATAATATTTATGTGCAGCGTTTTTTCTAATCTACTTCAGTATGAATCATTGTTCGTATTAAGCACACGTTTCTTATAAACAGCTGTATCTATAAATTCGAGTGAATGCTATTACGAAAACAACGAACAACACATATTATAATTACAATACGACTACCTATTTTTTAATACTGATGCCTTACGCTTCGGGGCCGTGGAGATATGCGGGGCGACTCTCCTCTTCCGTATAGAGTATTTATTTAGAAAAAAATAATTAAATGGGGTCTGCATTGCATTGCTCTTGCATTATATAGTATACACGTTATAGGTATTATTATATGTATATGTTTCTCTTAATACTCTTCTCTCATATCTTTCATCGCATTCTTTGCGACCTGTACACAGTTGCAAAGGAATTGGTTTCTGTTTAACGTCATGTATCAAGTCTGTTAGACTGTCAGTTGTCATTTGTGAAGGATATTTTCTAATATTATACGTGACTGTAGAATAAAATATTTATGGGATTAAATTAATTCAAAAGAAGTGCGATCTATTGGTTATCTACATTTAAAGACTGTCCTGAAGGAATTGTACCCTATTTTTTTATAATTAAAATATTTAGACAAAATTTGGGACGGTGTAACGAAACATGTTTTCGTTACAAGCTACAATTCAACAGGAACTGGAACATAAACAGTGCGTTGATGCGTAAAACTTATGTATTTTGACAGTACACACTTTATCTTGCATAATTATAGCAATTATAGAATTGCCTACTTTTCTTGTAATGATCCAGGTCAACTTAAAAGACACATAGACTTTTAAAGTTGAATTGTACAAACCTGCGCATGACGGAGTTGGTTGACGAGTGTGGAGCACCTCTCTGGGTCTTTTCTGCCATCAAACGAATCCAGCTCAGCAGCTATCATGTTCAACGCATCGTCGGCGAAGAAAAACTGCGCTAGCAGCGATCGGTCGTCCCTCTGAAAGAATATGCAGCACTTATTAATTAATTTAATATATATATAATAAAGATGGATGAAACCTGGGTTAGCGTATTTAATTATTTCTTAATCAAACTTTCAAATATAATCCCTGGAGATAATAAGGTCTCAAATGGGCAGAGTTTGGTTAGGTAATATTGATATTATTTAATACTTTATTATTGATAATGCTCTATGGACTAGACACGATTTTTACTGACATATTCTATAAATATCATATTCAATAAATCGGCTACTATCTATATTTCAACCCCCTAACTAATAAGGGGTCCACTCCAAATTTTTTGTTGTTTTTATTTTTGTATATACAGTATCATACAAAAATACATACAACCCCTAATTTTCACCCCTCTACGATCAACCCCTCTTTTATTATTGTAGATATGTAGTTAATTTCATTGAACTAAACAAATATTTTCTAGAAATAATATGCATGGCAAAACAAACTTTTGCCGGGTCAGCTAGTAACACTATATAAACTATAAGAAAACACATCAGCTCTCCACACGGTCCTAAGATGGGCTGACAGGCTTTGCCAAGACATTTATGCCAAAGACAAGTAACGTGCTGTTTGTTGTAAGTGTTAAAGGTTTAGCTCTATTCACAATACGTATATTTGAAATGCTCTCTGTTTAATATAGGTTAACCCAATCCTCGTCTGGGGTAGGGTTGTCTGTACTCAGCATAGTCTAAGGTTATTTGAAATTCTCGACAGGACACCTAAGAAAATCCATTGATTAAACCCAGGTCTGAAAAATAATCCAAGATGGCATTCACGGCATGTCATAACAAAATAATCTGGACGTGGCTTTAATATTAGGTCACATCAAAACAAATTCGTTTCCAAGTATTACGAAAAATACATAATATCAATGTTGTACAATAAAGGTCAAGATATTCAATTACTCTGATAAAGCTTTAAATAAATAATCCTCAATTACTTTCAAGATATAAACTCCTTTGTGTAATATCTTTTGGAGTTTTTATAGTAGTGTTTCCGTGACTTGCAGGATTAATCAAAATCGTATATCAAGCCATTAAGCCAAGTTTAATCAAATAGATATAATATGTCATAGGCACATTCAATCCGTTGAGCTGGAAAAACCGTTCACAAGACTATGTTTCCTTAATTAAATGAATAATAAAGTAATAATAATAAACCGGTAGATGCAATTTTGCCGTTTATTTTAATTTTTGGTTCGTAGTAATTAATAGAAAATCGTATTCTAAATCTAATACAAAATTAAAAGTAGTCATAATAATTAGGTAAAACCACACACATTTATTCAATAAACATCGTGTTTCTATTGAACTAGAATGTTTTTAAGTGTACTTCATTATGCCGTTGCGGTTTCGCTCTTGCAACACGTGAAGGCGCGCCTTTTAATCGATGACAGAAATAAAAACATTTAAACCATATAATCTGTGCTAAGACATCAATAAATTAATATTGTAACCCGTTTTACTTGCATTGCATACCACTCCCACATTCAAAATCCATCCTGCACAAAACCACACGCGCACAATCCCATACGATACATACGTTACGTATACTCTTGCACAAGAGGTACACAAACAGTGCTTCCTTCACGTCCATTTCCTTCGGCGATGTACGCAAAACTGGCTAAACCGCCTCAGTTATCAGCTAAGTGCAATGATCAAAATTCAGGAAACCAAAAAAATACGCCCAGCACCTTGAGGTCATTGTGCATGTGCATTTAAAAAGGCCAAGGAGTACTACACCTGCTGTTACAACACTTGCAATGCCGATTCCATATTCAAAATTTCGTAAACAGTTTTTTAAACGTATCTAAATTATGTTATAAGGATTGATTTTCCCCTTGTTAAGTTCATGTAATAAGTTTTTGTTTTTTTAATTGTATTTTGCCTTTGTTTTATGTATTATAGATAATAGATGTGCATTTAAAAGGGCGAGATAGAAGACACTACGAGTTATTAACTAAACGATTTCTTTTTTTTTAAGTGTTTATTTCACATTTGTAATGCTTTTGTAACCTTAATTTGTATTTTTTATATGTGTATTAGGCACAATCAACGTTTCCTTAGTTTTATTTATTAAATTAATTATTCTGCAAAAAACGGTAATTTTTAACGGTAGGTCTACATATCTACGAAAGCAAAACTTATAACTTATTAAAAGTAAATCTATGGAATCAAATATTGTTTGACATTTTTTTTCGTCATTTAGCCAACTTTTTCGGCCACGCTAACCGCGACAATTTGAGAATATTTCGAGAATGTGAAGAATGTGTTTTGATTCATAGAAAAGCCTATGCATTATTGGTATAGATTCTAGGTATAAATGATAAATCGCGTACTTTGGACTTATTTATTTTAGTTCTTGAATTGGAATAGTCGATTGTTAGTTTCAAATATTGTAATGTAAACATTGTAATGTAATCATTTAAATATTTCCTGACATGAAAATCATTACAAAAGGAGATACGGTCAGACTGGTCACGCCTTGACGGTTTCCTGTATATCAGATTATATGATAAACTCAAACATTATTGTTCAAGCAGTTCACCCTGCATTTAAAAATATAATTTAAGATTACCAAAAAGCATAAAAGACTTCAAAATAACTTAAGGTTACTCGAGACAAGGTCTGTAAGCTTAAGGATCACAATTCAAACTTAATCTACTTGGTTATACTTAAGGTAGACTTGTATAATTCAGAGGAAAGAGTTCATGTTTGGAACGAATACCCTCCAAAACCACTAGAATTATTTTAAAATCTTTCATCATTATAATGCTTCATTATCCCTGAGTAACTTCTATTCCAACACAATATATTTCCAGCAGTGAGAAGCTTGGTCAGCCGTCTAGAAGTCATATACTTACACTTGACATTTGTGTAGTACATAGGGTCTGATACGACTGGACGAGACGTAGTTGTTTTAATTAGCCTTTGCCAAAGTGTTAGCCTAGTGGCTTCAGGGTGCAACTCTCATGCATGAGGTCGTATGTTCGAATCCCAGCTGTACACAAATCAACTTTTTTTCTATAACATTTAACACTGACATGCCTTAGACCGAAAAGTCAACTGTGTGTAGTAGGCTAATCGCTTAGTCACGAAACATATGTACAGAAACCAGAGGCCCAGGCCTAGAAGGTTGTAGCGCCACGTGGTTTTATTTATTAATTAACTATGACTTAAAACTTATTCCGTGGCTTTTGTATATCATCTCTGCTACTTCCTATTTATTATTATTATTATAAACATTAAAATTACCCTAATATTATTGATATAACTTTCTAGAAATGTGATTATAAATAATACATAAAAATACAAAATTATTTAACGCGTTAAACCGTTGCATGGACTTCACAGAGACTGGGTAATAATATGCCTTTACCGGTCTACTGATCAGTTACAGTCTAGCGATTGAGATGAAGGAAATATGAGATCTATATAAAACTAGATTTAATCCGCAGAATATACCACATAATGTAACTGTGCCTGGCTTTCTCCAATATGACCTAGGATTCATGTTTAATTAAATACATTGATAGTGCCATTTTTGAAAACTGCAAAACTGTATTTCAAAACAAATAATTACCGTGTGTGCCGGATAGATGGCGTTGAATAACTATTTTCTTACATAAGATGTAAATTGTGTTAATTGCGAAAATATAAAGAAAAAGACAGGCATATGTGGTTTGAAAGCACTGACATCAGGATAATGAAATTTTACTAGGATAAGTACTATTTTAAAATTTTTATACTACTAACTGCCCCGCGTATTTTTAACTTAGCCCACCTTCTTTATTAGCTACATACCAATATATGGAACAATTTGCTATACTACCCTATAGAGACTGTTCGCTTTTCCTGAATAAAAACCTAAGTACCTACCAAATAAAACAATGTTTTTTATAATTTTTCTCTGCAAAAAATCCTTTCTCGGAGTTCAAGGAATAAATATATTAAAAAATTTACTCAAATTGGTCCAGCCATCTTCGTGTTTTGCGCTTAGCAACATATATTGCGATTCATTTTTATTTATATAGATAATACTACTAATACATACCCATATGGGTATCATTAATATTCTATACAAACCCCAGGACATATAAAGAATGCCTAATTAATATTTCCCCGCCCACTGAAAGTGCTAATTCGGAGTTAATAACGTAAATATATTATTATTTGTCTAGGTTTATTTTTACTGAGACAAGAACTCGAATGTAACGTGAAAAACAATTGAAGACTGAAATATAAGTTCAACCCGCCCTTTCAAGACGTAGATATGTTGATAATATAGGTACTTTTCGTTTTCAAAATTCTAATTTGGAACAAAGCATTATTAATAATAATGTTGCTTCCGAATTCGCACAACCGTGTATCGTGTACTTCTGTGTATCGTGTCTTCAAATATGATTTTTTTGTAAATATATAAGTCAACTTATATTATGTATGATGTACGAATTTTTTTTTTGTTTTATTAATTTGTAACAATCAGCAAATAATATGTCATAATTATGACTATCTCTAAGGGTCGATTCGACCAAACAAGAGTAAATCTTAATCTTAGAATAAATCGTCAGTTAATCGAGAGTAAATCAATTTTACGTTTTACCATCTACAAATTCTAAGAATAGTGGGCCTATTCGGGAATTGCTACTATACCGCCGTTTCGTACGGAATAACAGCTATTCCTAGATTAATTTAATGGCGTCAGTTAGTCCAATCATCTGATTTCTGTCATTTCACAAATATGTATTCTGTGTTTTAATTTCAAGTCAACGCAACGCACTAAATTAATAGTCTGGCATTGTATAATGAAATGTTTCAACAATTTATTATTTATCTATTTATTTTTAGATTTTTTATGTTCTATAATATTATAATTAAATTCAACTAGGCTCAACAGAAGTTCCTTTTTAGACGAAAGCCTCAAACAAACAACAAATAAAAACTTTTTGCTGTCGTTTGACACCTGTTAAAAGCTACTTTTTCACACTTTAATACGGCAAAATCAAGTTGACATGATGTATGCTCTTACACTTTGGCGTTGTAGAACAACATTAATTTGCCGAGTTTTATTTTCGTTCACCATTCTCTTTGCTATTCGCGTATTGTTATTCCTAGCGCAATTATACTATCGATTACGTGGAGAAACGACTATGGATTTACTCGAGATTAAAATTATGGAATACATTATTCCTGGCATAGTTACTCGTGTATAAATTGAAGTTTGGTCGAATCGACCCTAAGTAGATCAATAGACGTAAATTTTAACAGTATTTTCCTGTCTTACTAATCAGTGTTGTAGCAAATTATAAAGAGTATAAAGAAAATATGTATTTTATTAACAGATAACTCCTGTTGAATGCAATTTAACCGCGTGCTTATGAACTTGACTTAACATGTATTTTATAATACTACACAAAAACTAAGTTGTTGTTTTCGTCGAAATGAACCTTCTGGACCTTACCGCGAATTAATAAAGAAAACAAAAGCAGCAGCAGCAGATCGTCCCCTAGATGCCACGCCTGGATTATGGAACCTTATAAACTTGTAAGAGACAATATCAGGATTTCGCTGGAATATTTCAGTTAAATTAAGCAAGATAACTTTTTACAATAGTAAGTATAAGAATAGTGCAAAAAGTCTAAATCATAAAACTTACGCAATTCAAAATTAAGGCTAAATATTGCGGTCAACGACCTATATAGCGATTGGGAGTGACTTTATAAGGTTCCTAACCCCATATAAAAGTGCACTCAACTTAAAAATCTACACACGCAAAGATTGAGAACGAAGCCTTTACAACGTCGCAATAATACATCTCACTAATTTTTATGAAATGAAACTGTCTTAATCTTATAATTCTCATCTATGTCATAATTTTCTCAAAGAAGATTTAACTATTTGTATGGTAAAATTATTACAAGAGACAATATAAAGAATAATATGATTAAATTTTTCACGTCATGTTTGCACACTTTAATTTCTTTATTTACAATTCCTATTGTACTGCAATTATAAGAAGCCAGAAATCGTTTGCATGTAGACCTAAAATAAGGTTTCGGTCATTCGCACCCGTGGGGAGCGGTGGAATGTCACGCAAAAACCAACCCACACCACACCTGCCGTTATTACAATGCTCATATATATTATGTAGGTATTATATTGATCGGTAACTTCTAATGTATTTACATTAGAAGCAAACTTAACATAAAAAAATATTTTAGTATTTTGGACTCCTTTGGAGGAGTTATCAAACATTAATCAACTTTTTAATAACATTTAGCTTTTTGCACAGAAGCATAATATAAATAAATTGGTTATTTAACGTCTTCAAAATCGGCCATTGCTCTGTTAGGTGCATATTTTAATTCCTTTTTCAAGTCACAATCTCGTCTTGTTCGTTCACAAATATGTGACACTTCATACAGAAAAAACGTTTGACAGCTCATGAAACTAGATTAAAGTTAAAATATCACCCATATTTTGCTGTGCAATTTTAACGGAAAATTTCTTAAATTTTTATTTGTGGTAAACAAAATTAATGTTGAATTAGAAAAAAAAACTGAAGTGAAGATTTTAATACTGCACCACACTTATTTG